AGAGGCCTCTTCCAGCTATTCGTAAACAACAAGAGGAAGCATTTGCCTACCTTGAGCCAGAAATGAATGAAGAGTATACTGATGGTACTCCAAGAAGTGGCATCACTGGGGAGCCTGAGCCATTAACAGAAAAAGCACTAAGGGAGGCCAGCCCTGCCATTGAAGTTTTTGGAGAGGCTTTGGTAAACCCCGCAAAGCTAAAATGCTGTAGTTGTGTAGTTGAGAACTAGATTTGGTTTAGAAATCATTTTGGTGTGGGAAGCAGCCAATGGCTGAAATTTAATTTGTGGATGTGGGAGTTATAAATCCATAATGTAAAAGTTTGAAACAGTTTATTTCACTTCCTAACTTTCTACTGCTATTTTAATTGATTTATATATATTCTGAGAGTATGATTTAGATCTGGAGAAAATTAAATCGATTTTTTTTCTCTTCCATTTCTGGGAAAGAGTGTAGCGGATATTTGAAAATAGCGTGCTTTAGAATATGAAATGTACTGGGCTTTCATAACTGTACCACAATGATTGAGGAGGCTTCATAGGAAGAAAAATAATTATCAAATGATGGGGTAATTTGTTGAGGCGAATCTTTGTTCAAGTTTAAAAAAAAAAAAAAAGTCCAATTTTTCCATTAGGCTATTTTATGGGAAGGATTTTTCAAAAGCACAAAGTATAGGAAGTTGCTAAACTCCCACTGAAAATGAGAGGCAGTTAGGTTTCTAATACCCTCTTTACATTGGGTATTCTCCTTTCTGAGACCAAATTACATTTTTTTTTTTTTTTTGAATGGATGACAGCTGTTTCATGGCAGTCTTGCTCTCTTTTTGTAGGTTGCAGGAGCATATTCCAAGACTTGGTCATATCGAGAAGATGCATTGCTTGCTATATATAAAAAGCTGATGGAAATCTCTGTCAGCACCCCAAAAGAGGATTTAAAGAACATGCTCAGGGCTGCTGTCTTTCTCATAAGAAGAGCCACAAAAGACATAGTGTCTTCTGTAAGTAAGGCTGTTTCATAATAAAATTCCTGGGCTTCAGTTTATTCTAGAGGAAACACCAAGAGCCGGCCAAAGTCAGCGGGGCTCTAGCGAGGTTTAGGATAAGAGGTAGCATTTGCCCGTGCTGGAGCTGGACTCGCTCCACTGCCACCCTCATGAGCTGAAGCTGCTGCAGCCAGTTGATAATCTAAGTTCAATGAGGTCTTTTAATGAAGTTAATTGTAAGCACTAAGGTTGTATAATCATCCCCTGCTGTGAAAGGTTTGTTTATTTATTTATGGCTTTGAATCCTAGGCTCTGTTTAACAAAACCTTTTGGGTTCCTGTTTACTATTTACTGCATAATTTAGGGCAGTGTTTCTCAACCTGTGGGCCGTGACCCAAAAATGGGTTGCAAGAATATTTGAAACAGTTGCAAGCAAGTCCCAGAAATAGGTAGGGAAAGCATGGGTTTCCCTTGGAGGCTGCCAGCATTCCAGCCTGCAAGGAGCTGCTTGGGGCAGTTGGAGGCAGTGGGCACATGTGTATCTGTATGCACACGTGGCCTGCATGCAGCCAGGCAAGGTGGTGGGAGCAGCCCCAGCAGCTAGATGCAGGTAAGTCTAGGGGAGTGGGGTCTGAGGGCCAGGGCTTGGGGACTGTCTGGGGCTCTGTGTGGGTGTGGAAGGGATGGGGGAGCCCGGGTCCCTGCTGGCACTGGGGGAAGGTGGCCAGGTGCTAAGACTGTCTTGGCAAGGGGGTTGGGGGGAAGGCACCTGCCCCTCCAGAGGGGGAAGCAGGCAGGAGTGGCGGTCCTTCAGGGGCAGCAGGGAGCTGCGTGGCTGGGCTGGTTGCACTGGGACTGGTGCCCATCTTCTCGGGGCAGGATGCCCAGGAGACGTTGCTTGGGGGGCAGGAGGGGCCATGACCAGGCTGCCTGGTATGGCGTGGGAGCCCCAGCCCAGGGCATGGGGTGCCAAAGGCCTATCCTCCCTCCAGCTAGTGCCAGGGCTGGAATCGCTCCACTGCCACTCTCTCATGAGCTGAAGCTGCTGCAGCCACAGCACTCTAGCCCAAGTGGGACAGGGGTAGCTGTGGGGGGCAGGGGACTTTGGGTTGGGAGTGAGGGGCACTGGCAGGGCCAGGGGTCTATGGTCAGGGCTGGCCATCAATGTTTACAAATGGGTCCTGGTACAAAAATGGTTGAGAACCACTGATTTCAGGAATTGCATACACCTAGAGCTAAATATTTAATAGATTTCAAAATGTAATGTCTTTGGAGTGGAATTAGGGTCTATTTTTCCATGTCATGAAGGAAATTTACTTTCTTTTTTTAATGTTTGTATAGCACCTAAATGTTCTCATGGAAAGAGATTTTGAAAATGTGTAGGGGAATTTATCTTTGGGTAGCATGCCTGAAAATGATCTATTATGGTGAGCAAAGCATGAATGAACGCCAAGAATCTTAAATGTCACGTGATTTAATTTATTTAAAATGTTTATAAAAGTATTAACAAACAAGTAACCGTTAAACTTGCACCACAGAAACATATAGATAAGGCAGCTTAGTTGTTGTAACAATGTGTTTGTGCAGAGTCTATAATAATAGCCTAAGTTGAAGCAGACATTCCAAATTTTCATTGTGATGTAGAGTTAGTTAAAATAAAATATTTTCCATGTTGATGGAAGCCAGAACTGAGTAATGGGCTAAAAGAAATTACTAATGATGAGATCCGCTGAAGCTTAACCATACATGTTTTTTAAAGCTGCCATATGGCAAAGAGGGTGGAATATTGAATCTCCAGGCAGGTTTTAGGGTCTTGAAAAACAGGCTTTCCATTCTCTGGTTAGACTAGAAAAGGAATCAAATAAATTGTGTAGCCATCTCATTTTAAAATGTAACACTTTTTCTGGAAAAGGAGCAGCCATAGTCGCTTCTATGTCTGTGCTTTCTTTATTGGTAACTTCAGATTTCCTGCTTTTTTCTCTTATTTTTTTTGTGGTAGAAAATGGGATTAGAAACTTTTATTTTATATTGATTAAATAATGCTTTTTAATTCAGGTTTTTCAGGCTTCCCTGAAACTTCTAAAAATGATCATTACGCAGTACATACCAAAGCATAAGTTAGGAAAACTGGAAACAGCTCACTGTGTGGACAGAATCCTTCCAAATCTGCTTTCTAGGACTGGGGATTCATCAACCCGTCTGCGCGTTGTGGCTTCTAACTTTATTCAGGTAAGAAAGCATCTTGCAAATGCTTAAAACAGTGTATAACCAAATAAATGACACACTGAAAACGTCATATAGGTGTTGACAGCATGACCCTTGTGCAAAGCTGAAAACTAGAAGGTTAATATATGAAAATGTGTTCATAGAGTTGGCTGTATAGACTGTTGGTCTTGCAGCTATTGATTTAACCTACATAAGCACCTTCTCTGCTTTGTTTGGGCAGTCTTAATAAACTAGCAAAGTGCCTGTCAAGAATGATGGGCGGGCAGCAGGAACAGAGAGCTACCGCCCCATGCTGCTGCCACTCCATATCTGGCCACACACCACTCCCATCCCTCCCACGCTCTGTTTGCCCCATGCTCCCTCCCCACACCACAGCTGCCCAGCCACATGCGCACACCCCAAGCCACATGTGCCACACACACCCAGCCAGCCACATGCCACCCAGCCGCGCACACACGCTCCCTGCTTCACTCCACCCTCCCCACCCCATGGGGAGGGGTGTGGTGTGGTGTGTAGCTGCCAGGAAGCATGCACAGGGGATGTGCCTGCTGCATTTGGCAGGCACTGCTCTCATCCCCCTGCCCACTGCCCTTGCGGCACCCTGCGGCCACATGCCATGCACCCGGGCAGGCGCTTGCCGCATGGGGGGCACGTGTGAGGGGTGTACCCTAGCCTGCAGCCTCATGCTGCAGCCAGCAGGCACTGCCCATGCCCCTCTGCCTGCTCCCCTCGCGCCACCCTGTGCTGGCACACTATCATCCTTCCCTCCCCAAATGGCTGCCAGTCCCTGCAGCCAGCCCTGCCCACCTCGGTCTCTGCCTCTGCCTCTGCCTGTCTGTCTGTCCTATGGCTCTGGGCCACGCATGTGCAGTTGGCCCAGAGCGTTACGGACAGACAGAAGTGTAAGGCTTTTATTATATTAGAATAGTCTGTTCGTGATTTTTTTAATGCAGACTTTCTTTCATGGAGTTATAGGTTCCATTTGTGTCAGGAATTGATCCTAAAAAGGTACTCGCTTCTTTCAGTGCCCTTTGGTTTCAGGGTGCTGAATACCTCATGAGACTGAACCCTAAAATATGTCTTGTAACAGTGGGTGACTTAATTGCAAACTGAGTAATAAAAACAGAGTATTTAAATGAGTTCTGCTGCTGTATTCTTGAGAGAAATTTAACTTCCATTAAAGTTGGTGGCAGTTTTGCAAGTGAAAAAATGTGGAATGATGCTGATAGATTCAATGCCATGTTGTTTGCTGTCATTGAAAGCAAATTAAATAAGTGTTTGTGGAACTGCAAGTTGTCACATCTATGGAATTGTTGGGGAATTGCCAGTTGGTTGTGTGGCTTCTAACAGAATCTATGAAACTAAGTTGCCCCATGCAAGAACTTTACAGTGTTGCCACATCCACATCCTCTTACCATTCTCAGAGGACTTGTTTCCCCTCTGTATGAACCAAAGGCTACTTTTGGTGTAGGCTGTGATGATAATTTGTAATGGGTTTGCATGGGAAAATTGGTACACAGCCATAATCAAGGCAGAATATTTTTTTAGGGTAACAGGAATGTTGGATGCGTCTGACCCTGTTTTTTGTTGGGTTTTTTTTATGCAGTCAGATTACAATAGTATTTGTGTGTGATTTGGCTGTTTAGCTGTATTATGTTGCAGTTTAAGTGCTGTGGTAGAAAAGCTACTATACTTAGCCCCTCTTGCTACTCTTTGTGGTCCACAGCATTATTCAGTCAGGAGTTAAATGTATTTTATTCATAGGCCTTTCCACATAATGCAGGAGGAGCATTAGTGCCTCTATGAAATAGTGTCAATATATGCTCGAGATACCCCAGATAGAGGGCCATGCACACACCCTGCACCCCGCCCCCCAGCAAGATTTAATGGAAGCAGGAAGTTCCCCTGCTTTACCTGTGACAGGTTAGATGTTAGGTCTGTGTTGTGCCAGAGTTTTTGGTAGTCTTTTGTAGAGTTTAGTATATGGCTTCTATAGAATGGTTTGGATAGGGATGAGTCTGCCTTAGTCAAGGGTTGGACCAGATGACTTCTGGTGGTCCCTTCCAGCCTTGTAGTGTTTTATTAGTGGCGACTGTGATTTAGAGAGATCTATATTAACTTTGTTATTATGGTTAGGTAAGAAGTCCTGAATTTTTATGGAGCTATTGCCGTTATCTTGGTACTACAGGCAATGTAATATGCTCACAGGGTAGCTGTGCTAAGGACCAAATTTTGCCATCTGATACGCATTTGAAGCTGTTCATAGACCATCAGCGATAGGAAATCTGTACTTGGCCTTTGCATAGAGACATTTTAAATGGAAATTAAGCTTAGTATGAACAGAATGAAAATGTACATAAAATAACTCTTGATACTACATTTGAGAAAATGGATTGAGTTTAAAGGTTGGATGTCAAGCATGCATTGAGGTCAAGAAATAGCAGGCAAAACATTTTGCTTAGAGAAGGGGTGTAATTGAGGTTACTGACACAACTATTAGAGAAGTGGTGGGGCCCATCAAATTCTACTAATACCAGTAAAGGAGTTTCAGTAATTTCCCTTCCCATGAATAAAAAAAAAAACTTTTACAATTCTGCTATGTAAGAAACTTACCTATTCCATAACAGCCCTGTGGGTCAAAGACCTGGTTTTGTTCTTGGTTGTACAAATGGTCAAGGCAGTGCAAAACTATTGTCTGTTTGGCCAGCCAGAAGGTTGTAATCCAGTCTTTCAGGTGCTGATCTACCCCAGTGAACTGCACAGGCTGGATTACTGAAACACCTTATTCATAGATTCATAGATTAAGGGTCGGAAGGGACCTAGTAGATCTTCTAGCCCGACCCCCCGCCAGGGCGGGAGAACAACAAAAACCCCAAAAAGAGAAATGGGACTCAAACGAGTCCAGCTAGGTGGGCATCCAGCCTCTTCTTAAAGACCCCCAGGGTAGGGGCCAGCACCACTTCCCTTGGAAGTTGGTTCCAGCTCCTAGCCGCCCTAACGGTGAAGTAGTTTTTGCGGATGTTCAATCTATACCTCCTCTCCAACAGCTTGTGCCCATTTCTCCTTGTTATGCCAGCGGGCGCTAGGGGAAACAGCGTCTCCCCCAAACCCCTCTGGTCCCCCCTAGTGAGTCTATAGACAGTCACCAGGTCCCCCCTTAGCCTTCTCTTGTGGAGGCTGAATAGGTTCAGGTCCCGCAGTCTCTCACTGTAATGTATATCTTGTAATGAACTAAATAGCATTAGGAAATTCAAGGTGGTACAAAATGCAACTGCTTGCTTGTTCAGCATGATGTTCTGTAGCAAATGTATCCAGTGGCTGATCTAGTGCATATGTTAACTTTCCATTCAGTAGTATATCTAGTATTATCCTGACGCTGTCAGTCAGTAAGAGTTGTGAAGGTGGACACCTGAACTCAGGAGCTGCATTCAGACTAGGGAAATAATAACCATTGACCTTGCAGCAGTCAGAACTAACCAATTTCTTTGATTTGGCTGCCTCTCAATCTCTATGCCAGTACTCGACACTCCATTATCACGTGGAGAAGAATGCTGGGCAGAATCTGATAGCTTTCATCTGCATCTGCAGATGTAGTATGCTCACAGTTTGGTCTGTCAACCCTTATTCATTTTCAGAGTCCTGCAGCAATGGGAATTCTAGAAGCGCCTTGATGGGCAGTCTTCCTGTTTCTGCCCTCACCCTTCCCCTGTCCATTTTTTTTTTTTTTTTTTTCCCCCCCATGTGGATGCATTTTTGATTGAAAGAAAAACAATATAGTCTCAACTGGTGGAAAGTGAATTTACCTCTTTGAACTTAAGGGAGTCATTCTGAGGTGGGTTCAGTAAAAAGTAAAGGGAAAAACTGAATTTGAAATAAGCCAGTGATATAAATATCGAATTTAGCAAAGCTAAATTGGATGCCCATTAAAACAGATAATCCATTCCTTGTTTTACACTGAATGACAGATGGAAGATTACAGACTATTTTCCAGCAGAACTTGGGACAGGAATAGTAATTTTGAGATTCTATTAATACATATGTATACGCAGAATGGCACAAGGTGAGTCACTGGTTTTAGGTTATTTATCACTGAATTGTTCACACCTGGGGGGGCATGTTTTCTTTCACTGAAGACTTTTTAAATTTTTGATAGGGATTATATGAAAACAGCTCTGGCTTGTCACCATAACCCCAAAGGGTACTGATGAGTTTATGAATACCACTTTTTTCATGTACACTAGATTTATAATTGTATACTTGAAATGAGGAAACGGTTACAAATTATTACTGTAAACATACAATGCTTGGCTTGGAGCAGGATGAAAATATTTACTGTGTATTATCACGTGAAAAAAAGATTTTAAATAATCTTACTAGAATATAAGCAATATTTAGAGTAGAAGCTGTGACTTAGTGCAGGTTTCTTTACATGACTTGTCATGATCTGTAGGAGGCAGATATGTGTTTATATTTATGTAATTACACAAGCATAATCAAAATCCGAACCTAGCCTATTAAAAATGTGGCATAGAAGTTGATGCGTCGTCTTTTCCTTCAAACATATTCAAATGGCCACAGTGCTGCACATACAAAGTAGGTATTATGTAGCATTCAAACAGTGAACATCTTACACACAGATAGTTCAGCCTGGGGGACCAATTTCTAAGTAAAATGAGAAACAGTGAAACAGTATGCATCTCTGAAACGTACATCTGAGAATAGTCTGGAGGCACCACCACAGTGGTATTTTCATTTTATTTTTTAAGGAAATTCGTGATTTCACATTAGCTGATTTAAAAAAAAGAAAAATGTCTTAGCAAATTGCCTTATAATATCAAATGGTCTTAAGCTAACTTTCAGATTGTTTGCTTACTTGGTGATTAGTGATACATGGTTTTCAGTGGCTGCACTACTTTGCCCTTGTGTCTGTTATCAGCAACCAGATCAAAACACCTTTTTGCCCCCTTCTTTACAGCTATTGTAAATAGCTGACTGTTAAAATGGCCAGTCACTATCTACATGTTCTGAAAAGTTTGTTTCAGTTGAACTAAAGAATATTTTGATTTTTTTTTTTTAACCTCTTGAAAAACATAACTCTACAAAGAATTTTCATCTAATGTCTTGGTGTTTTTTCTTCTTTTTCCTTGCAGGAAATGGCACTATGTAATGAAGTTAAACCCCTTCAGATTATTCCAATTCATTTGGTCCATCCATTGAAACCAAATTCCCCTACACATCTAGCAATGAGTCAGGTTGAATTAGTGGAACGCCTCTTGAAAAATTTGGGAACTGAAAATTCTGGGTTTACTGTTGACAACATCATGAGGGTAGGCATCAGAATCTACAGTGTTTTAAGTATTTCTTTTTCTTCTGCATGTCTCTTTTGAATGCCTGGTGCAGTTAACAAGAACCTGAGCTAGCAGCAAGCCACCTTGTGAGGATGCACAATGCAAAGGAAAGAAACTATAAAGGAAAGAGAGAATTTGAGGGAGCATGTGTGCATGGCTTCATAATTGCAATACTTCCCCATAATGGTATAATTGCTTTAGATTAAGGGACAGATCTTGATCAGACTGAATGATACCTAGCACATGCTGGAAATAGGGTGGCCAGGGTAGGTGGTCTTCCCCCAAACTTGGGAACAATGGAGACCAGTTCAGCCCTTAGAAAAAGTTAGAATAACTTTATTGTTTTCAGTTTGCAACAGGTGCTTTGGAGCATAGAGTGTATGAAGTACGTGATACAGCATTACGGATTATCTTTGGCATGTACAGGCAGCATCGGACCGTTATATTAAACTATCTTCCTCCAGATGATGCCAATACACGCAAGAATGTGCTTTATAAAACACTCTTTGATGGATTTACTAAAATAGATGGCAAACTTACTGAGGCTGAAATTAAAGTAAGTAACAAATCTGTTGAAAATATGTGGCTAGTTTATTGCATTCAGCAGCATTTTGATAGAGCAATATATTGAATTTGTAGCTATACTGGTATATTGAATTTGCAGCTATACTGGCTGTGAAACGGGTAAGGCTTATTGCTGATTTTTTATATTTACAATATTTGCATAATAAACACATAGTAGGATGCCGTTTTATATGGCTGATTAATATATCAGCATCAAACATAAAGCATAATGAAAAATACACAGGTTATTTTTCTGAAATATTAGTAATTTGCTTTCTTGTATCTGCCTCCTCTCTGAGAGCATTAAAAAAACTACTATCACTGAAAGAGCATTTCTTAATAGGCACAAAAAAAGGCAGCCACAGAAGAAGCAGAGAAACAGAAGAAGGAACAAATTAAGGTGTTGCAGGGGCAGCTGGCAACACTGAAGGAGATTCAGGCAGAAGTTCAGGCTGGAAAGGTCAGTTCCTCTTTCATCAGAGATTCTGAACGGAAATGATCTGTAATGATATTGCTACAAGAAGTACAAGTGAAATGCAGCAGAGTTCTAGGGATATAAATACTGTTTAAAAATGTTCTTTTAACCCCCTCTAATTATATCAGTTAAACAATTTAAGTAATAACACAGAAGCTCAGACACAGCTGCTGCTGGGAGCCACTCCTAGCTCCTGGAGGCCCTTTGACTGGGATGAGAAGGTAGAGTGACCACCTTTTTAAAATGTAAAGGTGGGACAAATGCCTTCCCACCTGCAGCAATGGTGGAGCAAAGTAGGGCAGCAGCGAATGCAGGCTTCCTGCCCTGCTGCCCTGCCCCCAGCAGTGGGCAGCAGAATTCCATGCCGTTCCCCTTGCAGGCTGCAGGGAGGCAAACCCAGGTCCCTGCACAATGCTGTGAATTTGGGACAAATCTGTCCCGGAGTCATGCAGCCTGGGACCAGGGCTTGATGATCCCATTCCAGGACTGTCTCACCCAATTAGGGACCAGTGTTCACCCTAGGAGGTGAGGAGGAGGCATGCCCAGTTGGACAACACAATCCACCTTACTGTTTGTATGACCCAATTATCGTGGGCCCTGAGGCCCACACGGCTAACTAATAGCCCCTATTGTATGGGGCCAATGGATGGATGACGCAACAAAATACTTGGGACAACTAATGAAAAAAACAGGATAGGAGTGTCGTGTGGGTCAAAAAGTCAAAACATGAAAATAAGTGCACCTGAAGGGGACACTGAGCAGAGCCCCCCCGAGCCACACCCACCGGTCCACGAAGGCATCCATGGAGCTGGTGGACGCTGCCCAGTGGTGCTCTGCCCGGAAACGTGCTCAGACAAGCGAGTGGAAAGCAGCCTTGCAGACTCCAGGCACCTCCCCAGCCAGAGCCTCCTTCCTGGTCAAGTACAAGGCCTGCTTGGCCAGGGCCAGGAAGAGGTTGACCAGGAGGTCCCGGGATTTGGTGTGACCATGGATAGGATGACCAAAAACAAAGGTGGGGGGTGAAATTCAGCCAGAGCCTCAAGAGGAGGCCCTGGAGGTGGAGGCGGAGGGGCTGCAGCCTGACACACTTGAGGGTCATGTGTGCCAGGCTCTCCCTTTGCCCGCAGGAGGGGTAGGAGACTGGGGTGTCCGTGAAGCTCACAACATACACCAGCTGAGGTCCCCAGTGAGGCTGCCAGCTGAGATCCCCAGTGGCTTGTGGGATGAGGGTGGAATATAGACTCAGCCACTGGGGTGCCCCAGCCGTGCCCCAGCCATGCCCT